ACTGACAAAGCAGAGCTTCTTAACAATCACTTCACTAATATTTCTACATCAACACCTGACCTCGAATTACCCCAAACAGCACAACCCAATGCCCCCCATTCACTATCAAACATTCATATCACTGATCAAGATGATTCCGATCAAATTAATATACTCAACACTAATAAACCCCCAGGCTCTGATGGTGTTATTCCTTAAATTGTGAATAAGCTTCATGCTTCTCTTAAATTACCTCTTATGTTATTATTCAATAAGACACTAGAGTCTGGTATAATACCTTTTAGTTGGAAACAAACAAATGTTAATGCTATTTATAAAGGAAATGGCTCATCTAATGATGTATTAAATTACCGACCAATTTCAATTAAATCATGCTTCAGTAAAATAATGAAAACAAAACATTTTTAAATACCTATACAACTTTTTGATTGAGAATGATATTATAACTAAGCATCAGTCTGGCTTTATTTATAATGAAATTGCAAGCAATGTGGATAAAGGAAAGGAGCTTCGATTTGTTTTTTTGTGATATCAGTAAAGCCTTCGACAGAGTATGGCACGAAGGTCTTTTATTTTAATTGAAATTATATGGTATAAATGGTAATCTACTTTTGTGGTTTGAAAATTATCTGTCTAACAGAATGCAAAGAGTAAATACTGAAGGTTACTTTTCACAATTTAAGAAAGTAAATGCAGGGGTACCTCAAGGATCTGTCCTCGGACCACTATTATTTCTTCTACATATCAATGATATCACTACTAATGTTTCCACCAATATCAAACGTTTTGCTGATGGCACTTCTCTGTATGTAATTATAGATAATAACCCAGCACAGGCCGCACAATCTCTCAACACTGATCTTACTAACATAGGTGAATGGGCAACAACTTGGGACATTAAATTCAATCCAAGTAAAACAAAATCACTCATATTTTCTAGAAAACAAGACACCCATCACATCCCACTATTTTTCCAAAATAGCCAAATCATAGACACATAATCACATCAACACTTAGGACTTACACTTCAAGATGATGCAACATGGAAACAGCCATACAGAATTTATACAAAAAAGCTTACAATAGACATAATATTCTTTGCCATGTTTAAACTGAAGTCAATAGAAAATCTTTAATTAAAATATATGTGGGATTTATTAGGCCAATCTTGGAATATGCAGATATTATTTGGGATAATTGTACACAACAGGCAAAAGATATTCTTGAATCTGTACAATTAGAAGCAGCTAGGATAATAACAGGTCTTCGTTCTGGGGTATCACATGACAAACTATACAATGAACTAGGTTGGGAAACACTATCTGTAAGACGAAATAAACACAAACATGTAATGATGTACGAAATTATGCATTGGCAGACACCTCAATACTTACAAAATGTTTTAAATCCCTTTATTAATAATCAAAATGATAACCCCTACCCTCTCAGACAAACTAGGCTTTTCAACCCACCGTTATGTGGAACTAATAACTATTTCGACAGTTTTTCCCTCAAATGTGCCGCACCATTAACACTGCAAATTCTGATCTTCTTAATTCTCCCTCTCATGCAGCATTAAAAAGATATTTGAATAAAAATATTATTTCTGATAGTGAATCTGTTTCAATTTTCAAAACAGAAGGTAACCGAAGAGCAAGTATTATTCTATGTCGACTTCGAAACTCTTGCAGTAATTTAAATTATGATTTACACCATGACCATCTTACTAAGAGTCCTGCTTGTACCTGCTCTGCTGAACATGAAACAGTATCTCATAACTTTTTGGAATGTCCTATTTCTAATAATCAAAGAACAACTTTGTTCACTTCTCTTAATAGTTATGGAAACCACAACCACATCGATAAAAACATTCTTCTCCAGGGCTGTCCTGATTGTGATGGGCTTACAAATAGAAGAATACTTGATGATGTCCATATTTTTTATTGGAAAATTCCGTCGTTTTAATTTTTATATGACTTAAAGCAACGATGTTAAACAAAAATATACTATTTATTCTATATTATATCCAGCAGATTCTAGTTGAGCATGACTTCTGTCTATTACGTGTACTTATCTTGACATTGTAAATAATTAACTTTATATGTATTAAATGAATTTATTATTATTAATTGTAACAGTTGTTGGTAGCAGCGACCTGTGCAATATATGCACATGGACTTTTGGTCTAAGCCTGCCAATATCTGTCTATAATAGTGTATATATATGTTGAAATAAATGTATTTGTACATGTACTTGTATGTGTGTGTAAGTGTGCATGAGGTGTGTGAGATGTTTCCTTCATGAGTTACTTCCCCTTAGCCTTGTGTTAATATGAATTATTTTGTGTTAATTTGATGAAATGAAATATATGGAAACGTTCGACGCAAGAGATATGAACATATGTGAAGTCACAATTGAAGGTAAAACTGTAAGAAAGACATAATAAAAGTTGGCAATGATAATTTTTCATACAAAATATGCTTCTATTGTAGTTCGAACAAACCAGTACTTTTTTCTTGTTCTTGACGACAAAGTCGTTCGTTTAAATGAGAGTTTATTACGATAGTAAACCATAAAATGTTAAGAACAGGATTTGAAAGTTATTTCCATGTGACTGACTGAGTACACTACTGTACGCTAGTCTATCCTACTTTTGTTTAATGTCTTTGTTATTACCTGATTGCTGGGGGCAATATCTTTATTTCTAAAACTACCTAACTAAAGACTAAATTAAAAACTTAAGTAACTACTTAATTTAAGAACACACCTCGATAATACAAATTATGGTATTGATTTTATCAATAACACTAGCTTTGTTTGATGTTATAAAAGGTCATAGATGATAACGTATTTTGTTTATTAATGTTGAGGACTAAATTGATTATTTTCATCAACTTGAACCTGCTTTGATTATTTCTGATTACTAGACCAATTTGTTCAGGAAAAGAATTATCAATGTAATGAATTTGGTGGATTTTTTTAATTTCACACGGGGCAATAATGAGATAAACCTGCTGATTTTCTTATGTGGAACTGTTTAATTTAAGAATCTATTTGAGTTATTTGATGATAATAGAATCCACAGCTATCTCCCAATAGAGTTCTAACCAAGTGTTTCTGCCATTTCTTCATAATATTCCCTATCCATGGATTACATTAAAAAGAGTAGCACTGTGTCGATTGTCTCTATTTAGGAAAACCAGCCATATGCATTGAGGAATTGCCAACAGAAACGCCATCAACAACAACAAAAACAACAACTGCTACTGCATTTACAACATCAACGACAACATCGACTTTGCTGTCAACATCGACACCTACATCAAGGACAACATCGGCAGTAGCAGCAACACCAACTTAATCTACGACAACTGAGACAGAGGCTACATCACGGACGACATCAACCTCAACAATGCCAACAACAACATCGAACACTACAACATTAACTGGCAAAATTCTAAATCGACTATTATTATTCCTTCTTTGTTTGGGGTATCAAAACATGTCCCTCACTGAATCTGGTTTGTTGCTCCTTTACAGAGAGATTGCTATACAATCGTATTGATTCCTGTCAAATATTATTTTTTTTTATTTGGACTGTCGAAATAACAAAAGTTTTGATGAAAAATTTCTTCCATGTGAAATTGCAAGTTTTGGAATAAGAAGAGAAAACAAATGTTTAATTTTCTTCTCAAGATTTCATGAAGAATTTGTTCGTTGATTTATTTTAAAAGCCATATTTTGCACGGTTAAATGCTTTTTCTGAGAAAACTATAGACCAATCTTCTCTGTCCGTATTCTGTAAGTGTAACACGATATTCGTACGGGCTATAATTTCACTATGTTTGCAGTCATATTTCGGCAATACAAAATCAATAACCACTCAAACATTACTGTTGTATTGCCATGCTTAGCCCCCACAGAGCCATGTGTTGAAGAAAGCAAAAAGGTGTAAGTATGATAACAACATTTATTTATTTAATCAAACCCATCACCAAGCAATAAAATTGTCTTAACATTTAAACACACTTCACGGACTTAATTACAATTCTGCAAGTGCGAAACGAGATAAAACTCTCAAAGATCTTTATGTGTTATTTGAGGTTGTATGGTTTCATTCTTTTCTCTGCCATTAAAAATTTGCAAAAAATAAAATGAAATAAATTAAATGAGACATACGCGATATTCTGATATTAGAAACTCTTTTACTCCAATTACTTTGGAAGTGTTTCTAAGTAGTGACATATGATATACGTCTACTGTGATAGAAACGCATGTATTTGGACCTACGATTGTGAACCAAAAAAACGCTACTAATCGGTGCGATCGGCAGGTTTGATCTGTACGGGAACTTCCGGAGGTTGGGAGTACAATTGATTCAATTATCTATCGACCAGGGAAGTGCTCTATAAACTACTACAGGTATGTATTTATATATGTACATTCTTGTATTTTTTTGTGGAAAATATAGGATTAAGTTAATCAACTGATACATACTAAGTTTCTCAATGAATATTCACGATTAGAGCGATACACTATTTATAACAATGGTTCGTTCTTGTTCAGATAAGTTACACTATTGGTGTATTTATATATACATTGTAAAAGCATGAAATATATATTACAATATTAATGGTCTAACCGTACGCATACAATAACTACCACAACTATAAAAGTTTCAATAACAAATATAAATGTTAAAATCAATCTAATAGTTGTAATATATGGAGTCACAATATAAAAAGTGTTAATCAACATCTTCACCGAAATATAATATACATAAGCTATTATCACTTCTGTTATATTTATTTCTAACACTTACTGCATTGAACTAACATATAAATCAACCATAATACACACAGAGGCTAAAGAGTATATGATAGCTCATGAAATAGAAACATTTAAGCAACTAAGTGTACATACACCTAAAGCGAAACCGAATCTTCTTGTCGATTTCACTGTATCTGGTACATTTCTTACACATTCATTGGAGTAGAAATTTGTTTATTGTTCCCACATTTGTATATATTTTCATTTTTTAACTCTTTTCTGTTTCTGTTTAGCTGACCATAAGTTGATCAAGTCGGACGAGACAATCACTAATACTGGAACACACAGAGCAAGAACACCTATGCATCCGATCGTTGCTGCAGATTCTCTATCGTCCCCCGCACTGATGAGTTTCCTCTTGGAAATACTGGTTTCTTTCTTGTTAACTGTCAGTTCCTTTGTCAATCCTTTTATCAATTCCTCCAATGCTTCATGTGTCAAGTTCGTAGTGTTTGGTGAGACGCCGCAGTAACATGGACAGGTATTGGTCGCTGTGGTCGTGTTACTGCCCAGCAAGGACAACGCTGTTAAGGTTGCAGATACTGCTGAAGTTATTTCTTCAGTTTTCGATGTTGCTGGTCTGGGCATTAGTGATATATTTTTCCATAATGTGGTTGTTCTGTTCCATATTGTCGCATCTGTTTTTGTTTCAGAACTCGTTGTTGGTATTGTTGATGTTGTCTGTGGCCTTGCCTCTGTCTCAGTCGTCGTAGTTTTAGTTTGAGTTGTTATTGCTACCGCCGATGTTGTCTTTTGTGTTGTAGGTGGCGTTGTTGACAGCAAAGCTGATGCTGTCGTTCGTGTCGCTATTGCTGTTGAAGTTGTTTTTTCATCAATGCATATTGCTTGGTATCCTAAAAGTAAAACCAAAAACAAAATAAAACAAGAGGCCCATGGGCCTTAACGGTCACCTGAGTCCTACAGTATTTATTTTTGTTGTTGATATATGTACCAATTTGAGTAAAAAATGAGCTGATCATTCCTAGACCGATTTTCAGTGAGATCGGCCTATTAGAACTTGTTTTTAAGTTTGAAATAGGTATTTACAAAATAACGGCCATGGCAGCCAAATTGTATTTCTGATTGACCTGAAAAATAACAACACTTTGTCAGGACCCTGAGTCGATCATTCCGACAAACTTTCAGTTCAATCGGCCCAGCAGAACTTGACTTTACGTTTGAAATAGTTTTTCAAAATGGCGGCCTGGGCGGCCATATTGGATTTCTAAAAGACCCGAAAAATAACAACACTTTGTCAGGACCATGAGTCGATCATTCCGACAAACTTTCAGTTCAATCGGCCCAGCAGAACAAGACTTTAAGTTTGAAATAGTTTTTCAAAATGGCGGCCGTGGCGGCCATATTGGATTTCTGATCGACCTGAAAAATAACAACACTTTGTCAGGACCATGAGTCGATCATTCCGACAAACTTTCAGTTCAATCGGCCCAGCAGAACTTGACTTTAAGTTTGAAATGTAAAATGTTAACGGACGACGGACGACGACGGACGAAAACGGATAACAATAGGTCACTTGAGCTAAAGCTCAGATGACCTAAAAAGCTAGATGCTTTAGATGACTAAATTTGTTTACGGTGCTCTAAAAATTCGTTACTATTATGAATTATATAACTGAGCATATTTGTCACTTTTACCTTCAACTGTTACTTCACAAATGTGCATAGGTCTTCCGTCGAGCGTTTCCATGTAAATCTGGACAAATTGTCCGAAAACTGGCGTATGACAGGTGAATGTCCTAGTTTCTCCGCCACCCATTTCACCTGACACATGGAAACACAGGGAATCATCGGTCATGTGATCATCGTCTTTAAACGTGCCGTTGAGTGACACAAATATGTCGAAGTCACGCTGTCTCTCTGCTGTAATTACAAATGACAAATCATTCTAATGGCAATGACGGGCGTTGGTTGAATAATTCACTCTTATGGCAAATTGCTGACATTTAAAACAAGTAGCAAGTTCATCTTGTTTATCCATAAAGAAAATATAAGACAAATTCAGTCTAAATGAAGACCGTTGATACTTTACACGCCTCCATAATATCAGTCTAACATGGTAATCGTTTAAAAGCAGTAGTGCTGTGTATTTGTGGAAAGAAATTTGTAAACAAAATGACTATATTTTGAAAGTGAAAAATCACGACAAACTTTAATCTCACATGCCGTCATTTCTTGAAACTACATTTAAACAATTGTTCATTATTTTATCATGTAAAAAGATGATAACCTGATCAAGGTTTCACATGTTTAGATAACATAGTCATTGGCCAAGACGATGTATGATGTTAACGCTGTCAATTCTGTATTCTCTAATAAATTGAACATCATCTAGGAAAAAAATAAGGAATGAGAAATGGAGAATTTGATGACGACTTCAATGAACTGTGCCGGATTCATGATAAAAGGGTATACATGTAACGTAACATAGTCATTTGACATACCGGCAAGTAGACGGTTTGTGATGGTGACGCTGTCAATTCTGTATTCCGTTTCCAGATCCACCATCCACCATTTGTATAATGATAGACCTTCCTCCCACAATGTGTGCATACATGACCAGCCATTGAAGTTTGGATTTCTGTTACCGTCAACTGCCTTCGATGCTGTGCATGGTAAGTACGTGCTTATTTGCAGTGCGGGTTTATTTAGTGCAGCGTTCTCAACATGGTTCGACGTAGGATCCACAAAGCAATGTTTTGAAAATGCTGTTCAACAATAGATAAATTACAAACTGTTTAAATATTACACTTGTAGAATTTCATTATATATGGAAAGAATTACCCAGCTATCATTTGTGTACAGTATTGTAATGCTATACATATAACAGAAACGTCGGAAGGGGGAAAAACCTAGATGTGTACATAATATCATTGTACTTTTTTCAGGAACCATAATTTATTTTTACATATTTTAAAATCAAAATCAATAGTGACTTCTGTTTATGGTACAAACAAAACGAAGTGAAAAGGAAAATGGTTATCGACTCAAAATCAGTGAAACCTAATTAAAGGAATACTGTGGCACGGTTAAACCATGGAAAAAAGGGCAAGGAAAAGGAAAATAACACCAAGTTTTCAAAAGCAAAAACGTCCTCTGCTTCAATAACAACACTCACAAGGTAAGTATAGATCATATCAAAGTATATCCGTTATGTTTTTAAAGTGTGAATCGAGTAATGAACATAATCAAAATGTCGACACTCGTCGAACAACTAAATTGATTATATCCCAATAAACATTATGGTAATCATAAAACCTTCCCGTTGTGTTTGAACAACCAGCATCTCTTTAAGTTCTGCGGTGTAAATTATGGGTCAATATTGAGCTTTTATCATGGAAATCGTGTTATTAGAAAAACGTTTGTGAACAAAGAATTTACTGCGGCATAATAAACAATGGTTGAGGGAGAGAAGATATTTTATTATCAAAGATTTGAAATATTTACCTTCGTAGAATTCGGAATCATCACTCTTATACGAACGCCTATTTATACTTTTATCATATAGATTAGTTATAAAAGTTATACATGATTGACGTGGTCAACAAATGGCATTTAATTCCTCATCAATATATATCAAAGTGAAATTTAGGACTTTATAAATTCTTTCTTACCTGTCCTGTAGTCTCGTTCAACCAGACGCTTGGTCACTTGTAATTCAAGAGTCTGGTCAAACACAATGTACTTTAAAATTACCATCACCAGAGGGCAGTGTTTTTATTTTCGTTTCCGGACGTTATGTCAACGCCATTAAAACATTTCAAAGAGTAATGAAATTAATGAAAACACTTACCTGTACATGCATTCCTGAAGTATCCGTGTATTCACTATTATCGCGAAAAATGTAAGAAAATGTGTCAAATTTCCAGAATAATGCCATATATTTCCACTGAATAAATCATAACTGAGCACAAAGCCAACATGGCTGACTGAGTTTGGAAAAAAGCATGCAAAGCAAGTGATATTTTACCTGTACACCATTCAAAACACTACAGGTTCTCACTCAGGTAATCTGGCTTGACTTGTATCAATCGCCTTGTTAGCTTCATGAATTATTGTAAAATATCAAATGACAATTCATGAAATCATTCTTAAGATTTGAAGCATTTTTCTCGATAAAAGTGAAAACACGGATACTTCAGGAATGCATATACAGGTAAGTTTTCCATGAATTGAAATATTCAATTTAATTTTGTTCCACTCAAATTCTGAATTCAACAGTTGACAAGGGTGTGTCTACCTTATACCAATGATATCATTTACCAGAATTCTGCTAAGCCTCGTTATGACTTCACAAAACGATAGCACTGGGTTTTACCAGACTCTCTGCTCGGCGTAGCTTGCGCAGACAACAAGAGTCTTGTTGAACGAGACTAACTTGTCTTGATAAGATCTGTAATCATTTTAACCAATTGTAGAAAAATGGAAAGGAAATTCGTCTAGATAATGGCACATTCTGTCATTGTGGTACTGGCAACAATCTTCTGGAAAAGTTGCTTCGAAACTCAACAAAAATAATCATTTATAAACGATTTAAATTTTAGTATATTTCGTTAAAATATAGCAAACAGCAGTATGATTCTACCTCAAACTTAAAGTGCGACTCGATTACATCACCTTCTAGTGAGGACATCTTTTTATGTACAAGTCTTCCTTGAGCTAGATATAATTTAATATAACAAGTCTTTCCTGGGCTAGATTTAGTTTTGTTGGTTGGGTTTTTCTTCAGGAACGAGTTATATTATAAAAAAGAAAATTGTTTAAAAATATTGACATCATAATAACCACTTTTAAAATAAAATAATGAAACTGCTTTTGTCAATAAACACAGACAGTTATTTTTTGGCTTGAAAATATATTTAATATCACATTTTCGTTCATAACATTACCAAAACCGCGCCCCGGGATGGAACCAGCCGGGTCAAACATTAAGGGAGTTATGTGAGGTCGAAATTGTAAGTTGAACACAGCCATGTACAGATCCATGATTACGTATTTCAGTTCAAACTAACTGCAACAGGTGTAAGCTTGTGTAAGTGACCCCGTTATAAATATATAGAAATAACTTTATATAATTTCACTTTAAGGGTTTCGACTTTAATAGACAAATTATTACGGTGAAGTAATGCAATAATTTTCTGTTTCATTTGAACTAAAATTTACTTATTTTTGCAGCAATTGTAAAGCAAGTTCCATTAACTTATTGATTTTGCTCTTGTAAGCCTCAATGGTAGCGCGCAAGGGGGTCCAACGTTGTCGGATAAGTGACCCAATGTCTTTTCACGCCGAATTGGCGCAATCCGACCAACCTTTCGTACCAATGGACGATAATATGGTAAACTAGATTCCAATCCACCTACCAGTAACCAATGTTGATATGATTTTAAAAAGATATCAAAATAATGTATACATAACGTCCACATCGTATCCATTTGTTTTCCGGAGAAGTAGATCATTATCTCGCAAGGATTACTCTTGCAAAACAACATGAACAGACGACTATACTGTTTGTGTTTCTAGGTTTGAACAATGTATAAACGTTATGTATAGGTGAATAAACTGATGTGCAGGTTTAGGTACCGGTCAAACCCTGTTTGTTCAGATTATTAAACGTACATATAAACGTGAATTATCCTCAAATAGATATCACAGGTCTAACTTGATAAACTTTACAAGTTCACACACACATTTCACCTACCATAAAACCAGGATACACTTTATTGGTCGCCATTATTTGTCGTTCATTTATCCTTAAAGCCGTATAGTTGACGTTAAAACATATTTATAACTTAAAGAGTATTTCCTTGACCATACTGTAAACCCAGTAGAATAAGCAGCATTTGTATGACAAGCTTTACACGGGAACACAAACACACTTCAGTAGTTTGTACCTGTACAGGTATGTATAGGTACAGCATCAGATACAAAAGCCTGAGCTGTAACTCCTAAAACATGGCAATACACATGCGTGCCGTGTGTATCCGGATGATGAGCTGAACGGAGTCCTGCAGATATATTTGTTTTGCTATGTGATTCATACGTTTTTCATTTTCTGAAACTCTCATACATTAATTATGAGCTATAAGTTTTCATACGTTCTTGCTTCATCGATGGTTATAGTACATCAAAGTAAAAGTAACGCCTAATTAAAAGTCGCTTTAATAAAAAAAAATCGGAGTTAAGTGAAGGTAAAATCAAATCAATAAGAACTGACGCAAGTATGGCAGGCTTGCAGTCCACGCCTAAGCAAATAATTTGTAGAAAAAAATTCTTCTGAGAATGGTTTGAAATAATGGAGCATTACTCCATAACTTGAGGAGGAAACTCTGAATTATATACTTTATTCATATCGCCTTGAAGTTTAAGTTTTGTGCACAAAGTTTAATTTTAATTGGTGCTGTTTTTGGAAGGAATAGTGCAAACAACATTTATTTAACCAAGAAAAAAACTACATGAACGGGGAACGTTACTTCAATTTATATTCAGTGAAGCACTTTGGGAGGAGTAGTGCATATGAAAAATGCTTTTGAACAAAGGGGTTCCCTTTGAGAAGTAACTTACGTTTTATACTTTATTCAAATCAGTGCAGAACTTTTGATTGTTGAGTGCAAACAATGCTTTTTTTAAATTCAAATTGGTATTGAATTTTGGGAGCAGAAGTGCCAACATTGATTTTTTTCAACAAAGGGGCATAACTCCATAAATTGTCTACTAT